TTTGCAAACCACTGAGACGCTTAATTCTGAACTGCTATCTAAGACACCTTTTTCTTTACAAGGGCTGTAAGCTAGCATGGTTGTAAAGTTGTTTGAAGCACACACAGGCTTGGTACTGGAAGTACAATTATCAAGCTGCAACATTTCAGTGTCAGAAGATTTCTCTGTGTTCATTTTTGGTGTGTTAAGGGACAATTTGCCTGGTGGTCGGCCTCGCTTTTTTTTAACAACTAATGAATTTGAATCTAAATTAATGTATTTATCTTTATTATGAACACCTGAGGTTTCCATTGTGCTGACCGGTGACTGCGAACTACTGCTTTTTGTTGTCTGTAAGTCACCTGTACTTTTTTCCAGGTTTTGTATTTTTGTCTGTTTAATATTGCTCCACACCATTTGTTTTTCTGACTTACGTTTACAACATTTTTTCTCCAGGGTTTTCTCATTTTTAGTATGCTGCCTCTTTAAATTTATAATCACATGATTAATACTTGTTACTGAAAAACTGGTGACGCATTTTTGCTTTACACTTTCCAGAGTTTGGTTGGACTCTAGTGGATCTTTGATTGGTAGACTTACAGAGTTCTTATCATAAGCAACATTACCAAAAATACCATCCCTTACAACAAAGTTGTTTTCAGTATCCATAGGTGAATCAACTAATGCTTTATCCTCAGGACTTTTTTTATAAGAACCTTGTGGAACATTAATGTAAGAAGAAAATATATCAAAAATATTTCCCCTAACTGCAGATTCAGCAGAGCTGTCTTGCGTTTCAGTTTTTGTTGATTCCTGCGATTTTCTACGACAATTTTTAGAAACCAGTTTTGTTGATTTTAAATTGATGAAATTACTTTGAGTCTTGCACTTAAGAGGGAATTTCTTCTTTCTTTTATTAGGGTTAGCATGGCTTTTCATATGAACTTTAAAAGCACGAGAATAGAGAAAGTATCTATTGCAAGTTACACAGTGCTTCTCAACAGAATGCAATTTTTTATGGCTCTCCATATTGTTCTTTGATTTAAATGACTTATCGCACACATCACAAAAAAAGGACTTTCGTGCAGAATGCTTCTCCATATGTCTTTTTAGGTGCCCAGATAATCGAAACTTTGAATAACACTTAGTACATTGAAATTTGTGTTCAAGGGTGTGCCTAGTTAAATGGGCCATCAAACTAGACCTCTGTATAGCAGAATATGGGCAGTAACTACATTTAAAAGGCTTTTCTCCCGTGTGTATCCTGTAATGTTGCATAAAATTTGTCTTGTAATGGGTAGAGTAATTGCACACATCACAAATGAATGGATTTTTGTTCTTGTGGTTTTTTGGTGGCTTGCCTTCTGGTGTGTTAAGTTTTAAGGCTTCTCTGTGTGATCGTAAGTTGTGCATAAACAAGCTGCGCTCAAAGTCACAAGAAAATGAACATAAAGTACATGAAAATGGTTTCACTGAATCTTTGTGGCTCACCTGCATATGTTTGATTTTATCTTGGGATGAAATAAACATCTCACTACAATGATCACATAAGAAGCCTTTTTTTAAATGCATTTCCATGTGCATTCTCATTAGCTTTTTTCTATCACAAGTAAAATTGCATAAGTTGCATTTCCTTTCATTAATTTTATGAAGATGAACATGATGCTTCAGGGTAAATTTGTTAAGAAAGTTTTTTTCACAGATTGGACATTTGAGAGTACCTCTATTTCTTACTCTTGCAACTAAATTCACAGACTTCTCTTGGGACTCTTTTATATCAAATGAAAGGACACGGCTTTTGATTGATTTAATTTTAGGCGTATATTTTGAAGTCCCATTGTTATTTATTTGTTTAACAGCAATCTGCTCATTGTTGGCAGCTAATACTGTTGGCTCCTCAAAATCATTAGGTTTGCACTGTAAAAGAGGGCTAGCAATACTCATACTGGCAGTAGACTTTGAACAATTCATAGATTTTCCAGATAAATTATTTGTTGTATCTGCATGAATTTTTATAATATGATTAACCACAGAACTAGGGCGATCAGCAGAAAAATCACACTCAGGGCAATAATGCATAGGTTTCTGAAAGACGTGTGTTGACAAGTGGCTGTCGATGGCTGTTTTTGAGTTAGATTTAAAATCACAGTACCAACAACTGAAGTTGTCATTGGGGCAAGCTTCAGCCTTTTCGGAGATTTTTTGAGAACGCCGAATAGAAACAGACATTTTGAAAGATAAATTATTTTTTAAAATAAACTTCTTGAGTTGAAATGAACATTCAGAGTTGTGAAAATAAATACCTAGAATCTATGACTTGAGAATAAAAATTAAATGTTAGACGCTCTTCCCACTACTTTGTTGTATTTAAGTTGCAACTAGAGTAGCATCCCCTTAGAGTCTTTTAACCAGATTTCTAGCAATAAAGAAGCCAAATGATTTTTGGGTAATCTATCGTTTTGGGTACGTAAAATCGCCCGCGACTAGTAATGTGAAAAACAGGTGACTCCTTGCATTTTAATATTATTTCACATTTTGAGGAGGATTTATGTTTTGAAAAATACAAAAATGTTTCCTTGTTTCATTTATGTACCTGTTTTTAAACAATTGAATTAAAACTTTTCAGTAATAAATGAACACCAGCGATGTTTCCAACAGATGCAACCATGCTCATTAACTATAGCAGCCATCTCTGTTTAAAGTTAATTTCTGGCCTATATTGATATATTTAGCCATTGATTTAGGTTTATTATTCATTTATCTATAATATTTGACACAAACATATCACAATATACTTCTATTACAGCCTTGACAATGAGGTAACGTTTTCGTACATTAATAGCCGCGGGCGATTTTACGTACCCAAAACGATAGATTATCGATTTTTGTAATACGTGAATAAGCAAATACCTCAATTAGATTATATAACATCTACTGCACAAGCACTGTAGCATTCAATTGAGTTTTTATTTTTATTTTAGAAAATCATATGTATATTTATCACCTGTACTTATCTTTTGGAAATGGATTCACGTTTAACGGTGCTGGGTAAAATGCGAGAAGAAAACGTGAGACATAACTGCGGAATTAGGAGTCATTTTCCGGTTGGTTTTTTTTTTTTTCATTGGTCGATAACGAGTGTTCTATGCATTGTAACAGTGGTTTTTTTTTTTTTTTAATTCAGGAAATATGCAAATTCTTATAGCCGTTGCTCATATGACCGTCCGCTTTTCATTTTTTTTCTCCATAGTACTTTCGGACTTTCCTTTTGAAGTACTTATTAAATTTGTAAAAAGACAAGAGTGTATCGCTTCATAAATACTAGAAAACGTAGTAGGCCTATTCAATACATATAAATATAGCGACCCAGGTTTTTCTTTTTAGTTTTTTAAATAGTGGTACATTATTATATAATTTTAATTCATTTATTTTCTCCATTTTAGTGCATAATTATACAAAAGCTTGTTATTAAAAAGCTGTTTTATGAATTTTTTTTCATTACTTAAAGATTTTAATACCACAGCATTGTATGACTAAAAATAATTGCAATGTGTGTATAACAGAGGCGTAGCGAGAAGGGGGTGGGACATATGTCCCCGGGCGCCGACCTTGGGGGGGGGGGGGGGCGCCAAATAGAAAGTTTGAGTGGGGGTGCAAATGAAAAGTTCGAGGGTGGGGTGCAAATCGAAAGTTTGTCCCCGGGCGCCGGGAAGGGTCACTACGCCTCTGGTGTATAATACTTAATAATAGCTTGAAAAATATTATTTTATATCAAAAACTAATTCATAAGATATCAAGGGTTAAGCATCCAAAGTCTAATTTGATGTCACATTGCATTGTCATCTGTCCTTCAACTACACGCGAAGTTTCAAAGAAATTTGGAAAGTTAGAAGTGGTTAAAATTTCGCTTGCCAGTTTCAATCCATGACAAGGAACAACAAAGCAGACAGAAAGCAAGTTAAATAAAAGCTTGTAGTGACTAGGCTTCTGTTCTTCCCGAACTCTGAATGAAAAATCAATGTATGATTTTTCATTTAACTTAGAGATCCACTAGGATCATTTTGGTAGGGGGAAGCCGTACTGTGATTTTCTTGCTATTGAGTCAATGTAGTTTCAGGATATACAAATTATGGAGCATCAAATAGAGATCAAGTGTGGCACTCATAAAGAAACGGTGCTGAAATTTACTTCGGTAAAGATTAGAATAGGTTCTGTAGTTACTAAACTTTCAGTTTAAGTTAATAGATTGTGACTTCCCTTATTAGTGTAAGTTAATAGATAATCTATCCCTTTAGCTTATTTTACATACACACACACACAAACCACCATTTTAAAGCCTCTTCATCAATGGAGCAACTTGTTTCATATTCTTTTTTGCTTGATTAGGTCTAAATAAGCGTTTCACTTGATCAACTGCTGTTGTAATTGACGATTTTACAGTTATATCTATACAATAGATAATTCTCTTCATGGACAAGAGGACACAAGCCGACTATCTAACCCTCCTCCCACCCCCTTGCGCATCAGACCATTTTGCTGTGGTTCTCCCTGAATGTTTACAATCGTAGAGTCGGGTCGAATTAGTGTCGCCTATTGGGGGCAGATAATTTAACTTTTAAATGATATAACTAAGGGGAGGTAAGAATTTCTGCTTGATCTTTTCATTGTCTGTAAACTATGGTCACGGACGGCTGCTTTCACAGGGGGAGGGTAGTGTCGAATTTACAAATTATGAATTACTGAAAAGTAGAAAATAAAACAACTAAATAGCGGCGTCGCAGGTCGGCTTGTGTCATATACAAATTGGTTTATTTGTAGTCCATAAAGTGTAAGCAAAGCAAAATTAATGTGTTTTATAAGAACTCTAGCAAAAAACATTTCCCCTTGCAATATAGACCTAATTGAACACTTAATACTCAACACAAATGTATTTTCAAACAGACAAAAAAACTAACATACTTTTACTGTGCCTCGTAAACAACTCACAAAACTTACTACAGTATTTAAACTATAATTTAAAATTTAACAAAAAGTTAAAGTTTTAAAAAAAAAATTTATTAATAAAAATATGTATGTACTTAAGAAGTTTTGCATGATAAAATAAAAAATTATGTTTGATAGCAAAATAATTGTATGAGATATACTCTATGTAGAGATTTACTCACGACTAGACAGCACATAAGATGACAGACCATTAATGTAACTCAATATCAACACAAGCAGACCATTAATATATTAACACAAGCAAACATGATTCATAGACAGGATGTCTAATGATGGCTATAGCACATTCATTCAAGTTTTTAAACTTTTCACTGTAATAAATCTCATGTTTTTGTGGTAAATGATTAAAAAATGCTATTCAACAGGGATGCATATTAAAAATGACTATTCTGAGCTTATATTTGAAACCTTAAACTACTTCAGTCTGGCATAGTTAAGCTAAGCATTCCATCTTTTATAAACCATTTCCTTAGTTATACTGTATTTCAGTACAAGTCATGTGGTTGTAACATAAGTACATTAAAAGCTCAAGCAATTAGACAAACAATGTTAGAAATACAAAAAGACCATCTTGACTTAAAAATAAAATACCTGAGATGGGTTCATGGTCAAATTTCACAAATAAAAACTGTTGGATTTGAGATAAACTGCTGATGTATTTTTAAGTTAAACTTGATAATCTCTATTTTTATTTTAACTTTTCACGCAGAAAGAAACTGAATGTGCTAGGGGAAATCTAAAATTGGATAATTTAAACACTAGAATTTTATAGAATGTAAAAAAGAGTTTGGTTAACATTTCATTATTAACAATTTAAGTATGCATTATAAGAAATATATATTTCACTAAGCCCTGATGGACTACTAAATTAAGTACAAATAACATATGAGCCATTTGAATAAGGCACTGACCCAACACAACCCTTTTCAAAAAACACTTCATAAGCAAAGTAAAACTATTCAGAACAAGTTGTGAAACAATAAAGTAGCAGGTTATTACAATTTAAGTACAATTGCACAAGGCATGCCTTTGTTCATAAAAAATATTTACATTTCACACAAAAAGTGTCCATAATTTGATTGAAATGAAATTTTTAAGTATTCAAATCATTACGATATGTTTCTAAAGATGAATGTGTACATGTAAAATTGTACATTTAGTTTAAATTTCAACCTTTTAAAAGATAAGTAATATTATGGACAATTAATCATTTAAAAATGGTTTTAATAAAAAGTCAGTAACAACTTACATGCAGCTATTGAAAAATCAATAACTACATTTTGTACTACTAATATTGTATTTGCAGTTTTCAGCAGTGTAATAGAATAACAGAATATTTCTTTCATAGCAGTTTCAATATAAAATGTGGTTTAATAAAATATAAACAGGTTTGTGGTGTGCATATTGATATATCTTTTAGCACCATCATCAGTTTCATGAAAAAAAAAGGTCCAATTTCATCTTATTAATGCAATTTATCACTGCTGCAACATGTTACAAGTATGACAATAGTCTCCATTACTAAATGATGTACAACCACATGTATTTATATATATTTAAAAAAAATAAAATAAATACATTTTTTTTAAAAAAGAAAAAAAAAAGAAATTTAAATGAAAAAATGAATGTAATTTGTTCAATGCAGCAAATTTTAAAAAAGCATTTCATTTTAATAAAATGAATAGTTATTGCTAAACTAATACTACAGACAAGAAATGCTCTTTAAAACTTATTATTTTCCATCAAAAAATAAGGTTCTAAGATACAAAAAAAAACAACTAAAGCTACAATTTACATTTTTACAAAGAAAATTTGCATAACAGCAATAACACTTTTTTTTTTGTCTGAGATTAACAATTTGGGCAGAGAGATTTGTTTTTAAATTTTATTAAGTTTTTATTAAATTAAAAGAATCAAAACTTAATGATTGTAGCCGAACCCCATCATGAGATCAAATGAGAGATGAAAGGTAAATGCACAAAAGAAATTGTGGTAATAAACACAAAAAGGAAATATGAATAAATAAAATGAAAAAAAAAATATAACTAATTTTCTTTAAAGGTAAATAAAAGGAAAATATTTCTTTGGACTAGATGACAAATATTCAAAGTAAAACAGGTTGAAATAATCTTAAATCGATTGTACAGGTAACTACTCATAAAAAAAACCAGAGTCATTTTACAACGGTTTGACATTTTTTTTCATAATTTTTAAACACAATTATAAAAATAAAATAAAAACTAGACATATTATAAGGCACAAACAGCAAAATAAATGGGCAGTGTGATCTTGTACTCCGAACCCGTTCATAAGATTAGTCATTATAAGATCTACTGTTCAATAACAATGGTTTATAAGCATGATGACTGATATTATGAATAATAAATTAATATACACAACCACGCTGTAAAACAAACTATCATTGAGATTCATATAAAAAACAACCTTAAACCGAAGTTATGAAATTGATACTACAATATAATTAGTTTTATTGTTTACTACAAAAAGCAAATATTGATGAAAAATGTTTAAGACAATTATGCAAATATTGAGATTGTAGTTTAGATTTTAAATGACTAGAATTAATTTCTACATTTAAAACTTAGTACTTTATAAGATGATTGATTTTTATCTAGTATAAGTGAAGAAAAAAATACTTCTTTCTTTTTCGACCTTAAAAGATTTAGTTTATTATGCTACCAAATTAGTACAAAAAATGACTTTTCCATAATCATAAAATCAATGCAGTACTGCTTAGTTCAACACAAAAGTATTTTGTTGTACATTAATAAAACTGTCTAAAATCACTGTAATTGTCGCATGGACAGATTCAAGATTTAGCTTACAGACTGTTGTATGTGGCTTTCCCATCATTTTATTTTAACATGCTAAAAATGCTGTACAAATATGCAACTCCTAAATTATCAATTGTAGTTGTTATACACTATCTATTTAAGTAAATATACAATTTTTGTCAGATTAAAAAGGCACTGTGTGTGTGTCATAATAAAAACACTAAGATACGACATGTCACAGTTATAAATAAACAATATTAAAATTTTTAAAATGCAACATAACACCCAACAGGGTCCAGTATTTCAATTATGGTCGCAACATCTCTATGGGCTCTGGTCCCCTGTGCCATCATCATCATCCTTGGGTGTGAGCGCTTCAATCACCTTGCACCTGTACTTCATGTGCTGACTGTAGGAGCCAGAATGGGAGAACCGTTTGTCGCAGTAGGTACAGCGAAATGGCTTTTCGCCGCTGTGAAGGCGTTTGTGCTCGGTGAGGTGATGTCTCTGTTTGAAAGCCTTGTTGCAAACATCACAGAGGAACTTGCGGGAATTTTTGTCCCCTTTGTCTGCCTTCTCTCTCTTGCCAGGGGAAGCTGTGGTAACAGGTGTAACAATAAAATCTAATCAGTGAAACATTCTAAGCAGGTTTGAACAGGGCTTGGGTAAGACACCACCATGGATGACAAGCTATTACAAGTCTTACTTTTTAAAATAAACAAAACAGTATTTAATAACTTTCTGATCCCAGGATCTGTAGAGTGTCCATGAGCCCCCCCCCCCCCCAGCTCTAATGGGTACCTGACTCGCATTAGGGAAAGTAAAGGCGGCTGGGCATAGTGTTGACAAACTATCCCATAATATTCCAGAAATAAGTGAAGTCAGGTCCATGGGCTGTCTGGTTCTATAGGTACTAAAAGTTTCTGATTAATCCTTTTTCAAACTTGTGACATGTATAGAAAAAAAACTTCGCAATAAGTGAGTAGGCTACCTCTATACATGTTCTGATAAAATTAACTTATGGCAATCTATTTTTCTAGATGTGTTAAGTTATAGTATACATGTCGCAAGTGTAAATGTGATGTTAGGCTTTTTCCGAACATTTTAATTACTTATAAAATAATATAGAGAAAAGTTATAAAAAGTTTCCTTACACTCACCTCCTGAGGTCTTCACTTTCTTCACTTTTCCAGACTTTGTCTTCTGCTGCCACATTTCCTTCTCACCAGTGATTTCCCTTTCTGGATGTACAAAAAAAAAGTTATTTAAAGCTCTAAAATAGTTCTATAATAGTTTTTGTCATTTATCAGTAAAAGCTGTTCAAATTAATTTTATGTTCAGTGGTTATTTTGCAGAATGCTTATTGTATTGGGCTAAAAAAGATTTAAATTAAATGTTTCAAACTAACTTTGAATCATGAGATAATTATAAAAATGTTATGATACAAAAATGAACATTCAAACACAGTGTCTTTAATGTTATAAAAGGGAGCCCTAATTTCTTTCTTAAAGTTTTATAATTTAGGAAATGAATAAAAATAATTTTTTGAATGGAATTGTGTAATAATAATTTAAGGTAAATAACATTGGTAAAATTTTTACTCCCATTTAAACAAGAGATCTGATTAATTTATAATTGTATTTATAAATCTACCTACCAGATACAAGTATAAATTAAAGATGTAACTATCACAACCTATTTTCCAAATTTAGTACACATTCAATTTCACTTCCATTTTTACATTACCTGGCAATAACTTAAATTTATTTTAATTGCTGCTAAACTAGTATTATAAGTAAAAGATAAAACTGCATTTAGTTTCATTAGCTTTCCTAAGCCTATATAATTCACATGATTATTCAAATAGTCTACTTTTAAACACATTTTATTACATTTATATGCAGTTTTCTTGAAATACTTTTAAAAATGATCCATATTAGGAAAAACTGTTAATCCTACATATATCTGACACAATAAGCAGTATAACTTTAAAGAGACTAAATGACGACAATTTAATAATGAAATAAATACTGGTTTGAAAACACGTCATTTTATTAACATTCCACAATATATAGAGAATACATTGTTCAACTGAAACATGCTAATGATTAAAGTATACAAGGACTCTGTTTAACAAAGGGGACTACAGTGTCTGATGTCGGAAACTTACACCAAAAAAATAAGATTAAAAAAATACAACCATTGCAAATATTTGTAGGAGAAAAACTATTGAGACTTAAGTTTTATAGTTTGCAATTACTTTAGTTTCAAATGCAAACAAGCTAAGTAATTAAATGATATATTCTCCAATACTGTCTTTTATTTATGTATGATAGTAAAGTGTTTGACATGAACAAATTTGTGGAATTCATTATTCTTGTCCAATGGAAAAACAAGTTTCCAGATGCACAGAAAACTATACAAACATATACTTTAAAAAAAGTGCAGGTATCAAGAAAGTCTCACCACAAATCAAACAATGATGAATGTTAAAATTTGCCAACACAACAGGTTATGAATGTAAAATGTTTCATTTTGGAATGCATACACAAAACATAAGTAAAAAAATGTATACCAATTTTGGAAAAAATATTCACAGACAATGGTTAATTATTTATAAAATGAACTTTTGGTGGAAGAAAATTAAACTGAACACTTTTAAATTGGTACAATACTTGTAAAAGAAAAGTTAAAATAAACACTTCCCACATACAATCACCATTGTTCAAGTACCTCTTTTTTGTACAAGCTATATAAGAGAAATTCTAATACACTTACAGTAGAAGGCTATGTTAGCTCACATTAAGTAAACTAAAATTGTTTAGAAAAGATTTGTAGCTCAGGACTAAAAATACTAGTCAAGATTGAATGTGGTGTATACCATTTTAAGGAACACTTTTCTTCAATAAGAAATGTTTAATACGTTAATAAGAACATGTGTTTTAAGATCCTAATTCAAGAAGATAACTAAATACTAACCCTAACTTGACTTCTAGATACATTATCAATGCAAACACCAGAATTGTGAAAACAGTACTTAAAAAAACACAATGAACACAAGATGTTTAAATTTCACTCAAAACATAAATTACAAACAATAAAATGGATTTCCAGTGAAAACTCTTGCATATTATCCTTTGCCAGGCAAAACAAAAGATACAAGACCACAAGAGTTCAATAAAAATGGGACTTGAGTTAATTAATAGACTATGTGGTGTACTTTTAATAAAATATTTACATTATCAAAGGATGAGGGGCGGGGCTGGTTTTTCACCATGCTAAAATTGGTATAGAAGTTTCAAGAAATTTTTTTCCAAAATATATGAAACACTAAACTAACCTCAAGAAACAAACAAAAAATGAAAATTTTAGCCAAATTTTCTTTCCATGGGATTTTTGAGTTATTTTAAATAATACTTGTATATTCAACAATTGTAGGACCAATAACAGTAAACAAAATGGGTGAACTGAAGCAATTAACAGAATGCTATTTGTCAGAAATTAATAGCTTAACCTTAATAATGGTACCAAATATTAGGAAATGAATATTGTAAGAAAGCTTTTCCTCATGAAACTGATTTTAAATTATTAGACACATAAGAGTATAATCAAAATAAAAATCAAGTGCTGCAGCATCACAATTAAGTTTTATAGACGAAAAGAATTGTCCCCCAACAACTCCAAATTTATTTGGCTGGTTTATAATATAAAGTTACTTAAATGTTTCTGAAAAAGGTTAAATATTTTCATGGATTTTAATGATAAATCAAGATTGTTATTTTTTTTATACCAACTATTGTTATTAATGAGGAAACTGAATGTTTAGATTCTGATCTATGTAAAATAGGTTTCTATATACTTTGTGCTTGCTATTCTAAAATTCCCTTTGCACCCACTTTTTCTGGAATCCATAAAATCACCAAGGCAAAGTAATGGAAAGCTATATACTCAAAAGAATTGTTTCTCTGAAGTGTTTTTATGCTACAAGATATTTTGAACTGAAATGAAAGTGGATAACATTTCCGATTTTCTTACACAAAGCAATACATCAAATATTTTAATAATACAAGTATTTTAAAAAAAACTATGGCTTTGATCTCCCATTGTCAGTAACACTGTCTATATGAGCATCTTCATCATCCTCTCCCACTGTAGAGCATGCACCATTGGTGTTTGTTGATGATTCAGGTGTGCCATCTTTAGCTAGGAAATTAAAAACAAAAGGTAAACTGGATTTTTAAGAGACTTTTGTAAAGGTGCATAAATTAATTTTAAGTTAACTATACCTTCCAGACACAAAATTCTTACTTTGAAAAATCACTGTTTAACTTTATTATTAAAATATTAACATGCAATAATTTATTGCAGAAAGAAAAGACTTGAAGGTAATGGAAAATTATGAGTATTTTAAAAATCAGATAATTTTAAAAATCAGCCTCAATCAAAATATTTTGATATTGACATATTTTCATTACTTAAATTTATATTAGGATGTTAAAAAAAATTGATTGAGAAAAGTTTACTACTAGAAAACAGTTACTTTTCAACTTTAAACAACAAAAGATGTGTAGTGAGGAAACAAACATCACAAGCATGCTGATCACTGATGCATAAAGAAATTTTTATAATAGAAAACATTCAAAAGCAAAGTCAGCATTCCACTGCAATGTTTTTACAGAGTATTTGATTCTTTGAAATCAAATAATTCATTCCACCTAGGCCTGTTATCATGTTATTGCACAAAAGTAGAGCAAGTTATGAGAAACTCCTTTGCTGCATGACAAAACTTGTGTTAGACACTAAACATATCTGGGAGATCTAGCAGTTAATTCTACAAGAACTTCTTTTTTAGGTTAACATTTACTGCTCAAGTAAAGAAACAACTAAATTCTGTAAATCATTCAAAACTATCACTACCAGAATTTTAACTGAAAGGGTAGGTGGGTTGAAAAAAAAAATGTAACAACAAGATAAAAACCATGGGACATGCAGATAATGGCACTTTTTTCTAATCGCTTTCCACAGTAAGCACACACAAAAAAAAATAATGAAAAGCAAACCCACCACCAACTTACTTCATGTGATTTCTCTGGAGCCTGCCTTGCCCAAATAATATTACATAGCCAGAGCTTGAAAAATATCTTTTGTAGCAATGTAGAACAAATCGCAAATCAAAATTTTTTATGTGAACTATCTATTCTGCTTCTGTAAAGTATTGATGCGAACAGATTGTAGACATAAAAGGCATCTTCCATACAATATTCTGTTTTGCGCTTAATGCTTCTTAACTATGTATTCTTATAAGTGACTTATTGGTTATTACTTTTAGACAAAACTAACAAGTCTACAGCAAAAGAGTTTAACATAACAAGCTAATTCTGGCTCCTTTGTGCAAAGATTTTTGAGTTGATGTGCTTCAGAAGATTTGTTGATTTACAAGGCAAGATTTTTACCATAAAAATTCAAGACACATAACAAAAAGCATGAAGAGTACAAAAATAAAAAGGTAAACAGTAAATAAAAACATCACTGCAGGTAAAAAAAAAATGCAAAGTAACTTTTGATTACAAGTCAAATGTTCTGAACCCAATGGAGACCTTTGCATTCTTTGAATTGTTTTCTTTTTAAAGCGCATTAAGCGCTACAGAATATTGCTAACATGAAGACACCATTTACGGCGCGAAAACAAAGTGGAAGCAAAATCGAAAAAGAAATCAAGTGTTATAAAATAAAAATACAACAAAGTACAATGAGATGTGATAACTAAATTATTTATGCTTAAATTAATGTAAAAAAATTTTTTTTAATGACACTGCTTAAATCACTTTTCCTTACTCTATAGATAATCATAATTGTATTTTGTATTAAATATTTACTTCCAAAAAATTATATTGATGATCATTATTATCTAATGAATAGGAGTTTTTGTCTCAATTAGGATATTTTAACAAGAATACTAAAAATATAATAAAATTAACAATTAAACATAAAATTTTTACAACGTACTTTATAATTTTACATAGATTTCAGCCTCAAGTGAAATTACATTATTCTCTCATGCCACAATATTGAAAACCAGATATTTCAAAGACTGTAAAGTAAGCTTGTGATAAAACCAAGCAGTTCTAATACAATCTTTTAGATACCATCAGCGCTAATTGCAGTTTAAGTATTTGCAGTTCCTTATTGATTTGACAAGTAAAATAAATGCTCATGGACTGTTAATGATTGCTTTAAATACAGAGTAATGAAGGAGAGAAAATTCTGATGCTTTTGAGAAAACTTGCATTAGGGCTGAGGTGACCAGGATGAAAACAAAACGTGTCTAACCTGATCCAGCTGTACTAGGAGTCCCAGGGGATTCAGTGCCACTTTTTTCAGGAGTTGTATTTGTTCCCATCTCCTCACTTATTGGCATTGGGGGAGGACTTGGAGTGGCTGTATCAGATATGTGTGGCTCGATGGCAGGGGCCTTAATAACAATTATTAAGTTTTAGTCAACAAATGAATACCCATGCTAAAAAAATTACTTCTTTAGAGATGGTGTCTACTGATATAGCTTTTATCAAGACTGAAAAGACAGAATTAGCAAACTTCTTACCATAATAACTTGAGATTCTTTGCCCATCATCATTTGACTTTGTGTCTAAGGTGAAAATATTATATTAAATAGGTAAATATAAATATTTCTCATATCTGTCTCAACTTCAATAACACTAAATAATTTACGATTATAAAAATACTTTACTTAAAACACATGTAGAAAAAAGGCCTTATCGCTAGTAGGCCAGAAAAAAAAATATTGATAACATCCAACATCTGCCCTTACCAGATTTGCATTTTTGTCTACTTCCATTGGTTCATGGTTGCCATTCATTAGGGTTGAACTTGGAACTAAAGAATTATCAGGCCCTCTTTCCACACCCATTTGTAAATCATCATGTCCTGCTGTTGGTTGCTGCCTCTTTCTCTCTTCATCTTGTTGCTGGCTAGCCAACTGTTGCATCCGCATTCTCATCTCTTCCTTAATTGCTTTAGCTACCATGTTATTAAACATCTCATCAGTTATCTGGGGCTTACTTTCACACAGCTGTAATTAAAAAACAGTCAGTTATTACATTTATTAACTTATGCAAAATGTCACTGGAATCCCATATTAAATACATTTTTACATTGAAAATTTCAATAACCAGCGTTCTACATTGGTCCACATCTACTGATGCTAAATGTCACTGGAATCCCATATTAAATACATTTTTACATTGAAAATTTCAATAACCAGCGTTCTACACTGGTCCACATCTACCAATGTCTGAAAGAAGGGTCTACCTGCTGGGAGGCTGATATACTAAACAAGAACATCTAGCCATTAAAAATGAACAAATGTTCATTAAAATAAAAGTGGCTGGGCATAGTGCTGACCACACCATTACATGGGCTGAGGTCAAGAAACACAGGAACTATACTTCATCTACCCAATTGGGTCACTAGGTCTAGAGAGGACTATACTTTTTCACCAGTTATTACCTATCTTGCTCAGCACTATCAAAAATATCTTGAACCCATTCCAAAAAAGTTGTACTAAAATATGAAGCAACTATTTGATGTTCTCAAACCACAACAATATCCCACTCTCAGATTAAGTTTACCAATATGGTTTTAGTATTATAAAAGATACAAATTATGAATTATAATTATGAATGTTAGATAATAAAGTTTTAACCGCAATGCTCTTGCATAAATTAATTACCTTCTTTAAGTCCTGATGGAATGTTTCACTTGATTCCATAAATTTTCTTTTCTTCTGTTCATGTTTCTCTTCTATTTGATGCAACTCTCCTTCCAACTTTTTCTGGAAACAAAGTCAATTTTTAACATTTTAACAAAGTAAATTACATAGACATTATTTCAAAAGGATTTTTAATTCTATTTTGTGCTTTTAGCTGCAGTTTTGAAGCATGTATACCTGGTGCATGGTAAGAGATTGGACCTGTCGTTTTAGTACTGTCATCCTTGCTTCAGTAACTACACTTCTAACATCAGGCACAACAGTGTCACTGAAGATTTCATTGATCAGGCGGTGATTTCGAAGGTAACGTGCTTGAGCAATATGCTTAGTGGTGAAGCCATCTTCTAAATCTGTAGATATTTTTTTAACCTAATTTCAAACTTGAAGATTTTAAAATTCACTAATATAAATTAATTTAGCCATGCCAACAAAAAAAAACAATTTAATTTCAAAACAAAGCAGCAATTTTTAGACATCTTTAACAGAATTTCACAACATAAAAACAGTAAAGACCAAGCTATCTGCAATGAAACATGCGTATATAACCCAAAGAAAGAAACACCTCACAACTTTCCTTCTCAGGTTCATACTACATGTTTAATTGCATGATAACTTCTCTAACCTTAGTGCAGCATCCCAATAAAAAAGCTACCATATAGAATATAAATTCAACACCCACCTTCATCATCCTCAGTTGGAAGAATACTAATACGGGACCCATCACCTTTAGAACTCTGAAAACCGTATAATTCATTGTATAAATGCGAGCCTTCTCGTTTTGTACTCTGAAAAAAACATCACAATGTGGGACAAATGAACTAAACTACACATGCAAAAAATGAAGCAGTTATTTGTTAACCATTAGCTGAAAGAGAATTTACAACACAGTAACTGACAGGTGAAATGAAAGAATTGTTTGATAAAAAAGGGTTACTAAAGAAACCAAAGAAACAATTCAAGGAATAAATATAAAATACTTACAGGTTTTTGAGCTGAGGCTGGAGGGCGTTCAGGCCTTAAAATTGGTTCATCTTCATCAACAGCTTCTCTCTCCGCTAGAAATTTAAATAACAAATTAATAAACATACGTTATTCAATTAAAATAATATCGACAAAGAGAAAGCAACTATCACAAGTTTCTAAAAAAATGTACCAACCTTTAGCAGCCACCCAGGCTTGATAGGCAGGAGAGTTATGATAGGCTTTCAAAGCTTCAGTATACTGAACCTGTAAATATAAAGTATCCAGACGTTAGTTATTTATCACACAACATGTAACAGCCCATTGTTTTGCCACTGCTGGTCATAGTTACAAAATATTTTAAGATGTAGTTATCAGATAGTGTAGGAAGAGACAACATGTGCAGAAGGTTGAACCTGCTAAGAAACAAGAAAATGATTATAGTTTAAGAGAAGAAACTGAAAAATTAAACATGACAAGCGGCAGGCATTTTTTTCAGTAAGTACTGCAAATATGCTGCAATAAACAGACACTTAAAGTGTTTATCTGAAATCCATGTATAATTTAGGAGGTGCAACTGTAAAATTAATCCAACCTTTTCAACTTCATACTCGTCTTGAAATTCTTGCTTGTCATGGTCAGATAAATCTCTCCACATCTGGCCAATAATCTTTCCTATTTCCCATAACTTCAGGTCGGGATTTTGAGCCTTCACTTGCTCCCATACCTGCACAGAGCACAAGCACAATAACACCGCACATACACATATTTTTTCATCTCACCATCATTTTAAGTGAAGATGTATCTCAAAATTATTTTTAAAAATACTAATGACCCTTATGCACTTAAGTAAATAATGCTTTTATAAATTGAAAATAACTAAAATAACACTCATGCTGACTGAATGGAAAACTATTCATACACATGCAGCATTTCTTATTAAAATATTTGATCTCAACTATTAACTGCACCTTAGCACTTGGTCTTTATGAGTGATTTTAAGAGGTGACTTTACATTTCAAACATTTTTCTACCAGCGAGATATTTTTAAACCTTTTAATAATTAAATCAAGTTTTATACACAAATGTTTACAACAACAAACACCAATATAGTTAAATCATGCCTTGCTATTACTGATGATAAATAGAAACAAAATTGACTAAATAGACTAAATTGTTGAATAATAATGACAGTGAAAATATGAATAAAATAAACTTGAAATGAAAATGATGGGATGGCACCAGAACCATATTCAGCAATAAATTATAAAAATGCTAGCATTTGAATACTAAAATCATTTAACAAAACTGGCCAGTCTGTCCACTGTATTCAATCTTGCTAACTTTTGTTTGCCTTTGTTGTCATATAGTTGCTTCACATACAAACAGTACACTAAACCTGTGTACATCTTTCAGTGGGCTTATTTTACCTGGTGCATGAAACTAAGCTTAATTTTTTGTTATCTCCACTTTCTAAAAGTGTTGAAAATGAAGCTCCTATCTTTAAAAATGATGTGAAAAAAAGGGCAACTCAAAAAAAATTATCATTAAATCTAAATCTATTTCAATTGAAAGCATTAAATTGAGTTAAATTAGAGCCAGTCTACAAAAAGATAAAACACTAGGATTTTCATGATGCAGCATAGGTTTGAAGATCAAGCTTGCAAATTCATCAGTATTCTACAAAAATCTCAAGCAGAGGCATTTATCAAAGTTTCTATACAAATTATAATTCCAGTAACAAACTTTCTTTAAAAACTAAAAATATTTTCAAACACTAAGTACCTATTTTTATTTTAATATCATAAAGTCACCATTATTAATAACAAGAGAGAATATATATTATTATATTAAAAGTTCTTTATCATCAATAATAACATTTCAAATCTGAAACAATTCACATAAAACAATAGAAAGTGTTATAGACAAACACAAATTTATTGAACAACAGTAGAATCATTTGCATTTTAACAAGATCAACCTGATAATGAGAGTAAGATAGGTTAATTATTCTAGCTAAAATCTTTTGTTCTTTTGCAAGTTGAAGAAAATGCATAGTTTTGAATATAAAAAAAAGCATTCAGTCTCCTTACTAAATTTTAAATTACCCACCAAAATCAAGTTACGTTATTGGAGAATATGTATCTATATATCAATGGGTCAAAAAATACAAAATCACTTATTAAAATCTAGTTAAAAAGCACATAAGGGGTCTTGGCAGTGAATATAAAACTATTACAACACAAAATATATTTAAGACTGCACTGGGATAAACAATTACAAACAACTTGTTAGCAATTTAATAGTTAGTGACAAGCTCATTTGTAAACATTTTACATATAATATCTAGCTACTGCTGATGGGAAGGATCTAGATAACTCTTGGTTTTAATATTGCAACTAAAAGAAATGTATTTTTATATGAAATAATTTAATCTACACACACGTTTAGACTAGAATGGTACTGACACTTGTATTTATTTAACTGTTCTAAAATTCTCATTGAACATTTTGATTTTAAAACAATGTAAATTAATTTAATCTAGAGTTATTTTCATAATAGAATAGCAGTGATTTATTCAACTGTTCAGAATTAACATTGAATTTTTTTTTAAATAAATTATTTGCTTTGCAGGTAATCCAAACAAAATAATTTTTAATAAAACCAGAGTTGCCTAAAAAAATATATATAAAGCTTTCTGGATATCTTAAAAACAGGTTTAATTATCTAGGGTCTTTTTAAAGGGATTACTATCTATCTAATTGAAATAATAAGGATTGGTTGATTCTATTTTAAAACTTTTTCTCTTTCTACAGCTCATGCACCATCAAGCCACAATACTGAAACTGATGTACACAGGTCCTGATTTTAGGTTTTATTTACAAACATTTTGTATGTGAAATTTACAAGAAGATATAAAACATGGGTACAATAGAATATTTAATGTTATCTGTTTTTTTTCTTCTTTTTTATAAATACCATCATAAAAATTCTCAATAAATAAATGATGACCCATGTCTTTTAAACCTTCTAGAAACAAATTTTCTTTTAAAAATCAGTGCTGACTCAAATAAAGCAAAAGATTTTTTTGTCTACAAAAATTGTTTTGAAAATATTTTTTTTCTTAAATATTTGAAATCCAAGTAAAAAAGTTTGTTCTTTTTCTTTTTTATTTCATGCATGCAAATATTAAAGGAACAATATAGAATTAAATCTGACAAGTTATGTATTTCAACATGCATTGTTAATTATCAAATGTTTTAGTTCAGATGGTTTATTACATTAGCTTATTAACACAGGTAAGGTTAGTATGTCAAGCACTGATTTTTTCAGTGGATGCAACTACTACTGACACAAAAAAACAACAAGATGGCAATGATGTAAAAAGTTCAGTGGACAAACCTTTCCTATTACCTTTCTGCTATAACGCATGTAAGGCATAAGTGGCTTATCTGGGGGCTTAGGTGGCTTAGGAACACGACCTTCTGACTGAAAAAAGTAACATTATATAATATATAACACATGTTAGTTAAATACAATTAACATTGCATAAAATTTCAATTTCAATGGCTAACTTAAGTTTTTAAGATATTTTTCAAAAGCATTGTTTTTATTTAACTTACTGTTCCTGAGCCTTTACTAGCCTGTGAAACAAAATTTTAAAAATATTATTTTTTTTAAATGGTCATAGCAAGTAATTTTTTAAATTATGCTTTCAAACTTTGAATATAATACATTGACTATAATCATTAATGATGTTTACTATTTTATCACCATAGTTAAGTAATCGTTAATTTTCTATTCAGTAGTCAAAAGTATAATTGTGGATTACTTATAGTGATATAAACACCAATTGTTAATTTTATAAATAAATATGCCTACATCTCACAATAAGAAAATTATTCAATAAAATTAAAAAGCTCTTACAGATGATACACCCTTTGTTTTTGTGGGATTGAAACTGGGATGCCCATGACTAGAGGGCAAAAACGGACTTGAATTATTTTTATCCTGAAAGAAGCAATAAGAAAATTGTCAGCATTCACACAAGTGTGGAGAATTTTTAAAATCTTATTTAAAAAAGGAGGATGGACAAATGTTAAATATATCACCTTTTCAGATGTTCCAGGGGTACTGGGCATAAGCTTAGATTTCACTGTGACATAAAGAGATAAAAGAATTTATTTTTCAGTAGGCCTAATAATACTGTAACAACTGTAATTGTATAGAGCTACTAGACCTAGATAGGCCTATATGATTAATCAGATAAAACTATTTTGTATCTAAATATTAATTTGTTTAGCCTATATTCATGTCCAAAACTATTGTAATAATAGGAAAACAGGTCTAATTGTGAATTTATATGAAATTAAAATTCTAGATTAGGCCTACATAAAATTAGTTACTTACAAGGAATAGGAGAAGCAACAACAGCACCACCTCTAAAATTTGGAAGAGCCATTGTGCAGTTTGTTTTAACACCTTTCAGAAGTCAATGTGTTTCAATTTACTGTAGCTTAAGACATTCCTAAATCAAAGAAACATTATTTTTACAAATAAAAGAACCAAGTGAAATAAGCTTTGCTTTACTATAATAATAATAATAGGCCTATAGGCTAAGTCTAATTAAAAATTCTTGAAGTTTCATCACTTAGGCTTATTTCACTGTAATTTTCAGTAAGTGTAGGTTAACAGGAAGTGGCTCTGGGGCCAGCAAGAAGTTTGGTCTATGGTTACACATTCACATAACCTGTATTAAAATTATAGGGGCCTAACTTTTTCCTCCCCAACGTCTCCACTTAGTCGGTAAAAGATAGTTCTGCGCATGCACAGTGACCTATGGCTAGGGTTAGGGCTAGAATTAGGGTTAGGGATAGGATTAGGGCTAGGGATAGGATTAGGGATATGTCATATGTTTAGGGATAGGATTAGGGTTGGTGTTAGGGTTCTGCAGTTGTAAACACACGCATGCGCAGTACCATCGAAAACATCGCCGCGATGGCAAGTCGTAGTTTCTCTCCATTGCGCATTCGTATCTTATTCCGGCTAGCATCGGCCTAACTTTTATGGTGATGTATTTTTCCTATGGTTTTGCAACTTTTGCTAGTATTATGTTGTGGTTATTTTGTGTGTTAAACAGTTCTGTTGATTTGCTAAAGTTAGGACCTATGTCTAAATACCCTATTATGCCAACTCTAAATATCATTGCTCCAACTCACGTTTTCTTGTCAAAGGGAAAAAATACAGACACGGTCAAGGGTCACTGTGGGGTTCACTTAATTTAAAATAGTGGCAGAGTATATATAAATTATAAGGACCGGGGTGGGAATAGATGCAGCTAACAGTTAATGAGGTAACTCATAAAAATGTTAAATGTAGACTATAGGCCTGACTGGTCTGATAACTGAACTGATTGTCAAGGGTGTGGGGAAATTGCGAGACGCGAAAAGCGAAATGGCGAGGCGGGAAAATGCGAGAAGGGCGCGAAAACGGTCGGTCACGTGACTTTTTTGTCTCGCATTTTACCACAAGCCGATACTTACGCTGGGTGGTGTTGAAATGCGAAGATTTCTGCGAAAAATTTACCGCACCCGATTTTCAGTGGTATTTGGTCCAGACTTCAAAGACGTTTCGTTTACATTGTTAAAACTTCCGATTTTTCCGTCGCTAGACATACTGATGATTTGTCAACTCCCCCCGTCTTTTGTGTCTACTTAGAATACCACCTTGTTCGAAACCGACGGAAATACCGCCGACGATAGATCAACTTCTGTCTTTTGTGTGGAACGCCGAGGCCGCCTGACTTACCGTCTTTGAAGATCGCCATGCCTGGATCCGCTGCCGCCGCAAACATATTTTCTATTGTTGCATAGAAATTTTGTATTATAGCCGCCGCCTACGATTTTTTTCTAGCTTTTTTTACCATATAAATCTAAGCACAAGGAAATACCTACATCATTTGGATACAACAAAATAAAGTGACGCAGGGGTGCCACTCATTTTCTAAGTGAATCCTGAAAATGAATCCCAAAATTTTACCAATCCTGAAACTAAAATTTGAAATGTTTGAAACCCTGAAACTTAATTCCGCGCGGAATTTCAAAATAAAATGGACTAATATTTCATTATTTTTGAGACATTTGATTCATATTATGTTCAATTTACATTCCTTTAAAATGGATTTATTTTCTTTGTAACAAGCTTCAAATAAAAAATAATCTTTAAAGGATTGTGCTTACAACAAAATTAGTTTACAATGTTAGTCCCATCTCTAGGCCTACACCATAATGTGCTATTGTAGAACTCCCCCCCCCCCCCCAGCCAGCTTTTATAACATAACTATTTAATTTTTTAGAACTTCCTAGCTTGAGTTAAAGTGTGTAGTCAGCCAACTGTTAAGTAACAAATATTTTGCTAACCTCTATGTCTTGTTGTTGAATAATAGGCCCACTATATGCAGACCCCTAATAAGATTGTCACTGTATTAAAATACAGGGTTGACTTACTGTAGCTATTCAAGGCTTTAATTATTAACAGCCACAACAAAAACCTTAAACCCTGTTTTCCCAGTCAACACTAATGAGGTCATCCATAAATGATGTCACGCTTTTTTGACGATTTTTACCTCCCACCTCCCCTCTGTCACATATCGTCACAAAAAGCCAGACCCCACCCTCTAAAATGACGTCACGCCTCAGCCTACCCCCCCCCCCCCCCCCCCTAAAAATTGCAGTTGAATTTTTCTTAAAATACGATATTTTGCCAAAAATCTTGTCTGACCTCTGTCAACATATAGTATTTTTTTTCCCACGTTTTCTTTAACTTGCTTTCTCTGTTTGTTTGTCTTTCCAATCAAATCTTGCGATCGAAATTTCTGGCACTTCCCAGTTAGCTAGCGCGCTGAAATTTTCAGGGAAGCTTTCTTTTGGATGACCATTGAATATTCAATTGTTATTATTACTAAATTGATCAATGGAAACATTTTATTGAGCATTTTAGACCGCTATATAATCTATATATATAATTCTCCTCTGCTAGCGTTAGAAAAAAAACCAGCGACGCGTACCTCGCGCGCAGTGAAGCGAACGATCACATGTCGCCACAGGCTTAGGGGCAGAGAATTTAGCTTGAACCGAGTTTAAACTTACAGGAGGTAGGCCAGTTTGGGGGAGACGATATGGTCGAGTGGTTGGGCACACGATTGCTATCCCACTCGACACGGGTTCAAATCTATGTGTTCTAGTCAGTAACGTATTCAAACAACGTGTTTTTTACGAGTTGTCTTTTTACGAGTTGTCTTTTTACGAGTTGTCTTCGTTTACCCAAAAAAAGTGAAAAGATAAAATCGATAGCAAGATTTTAATGCAAACAAACAGACAAAGACTAAAAAGTAGAAAATAATAATCATTAAAAAAGTTTTAAAAAACCCACGTTTTCTGATTGAACTAAAAAGTAGAAAATAAATGCTATAGGCCCTACATCACAATAATGCAAGCGATCACTCTACTATAAGCGAGCAAAAACGTGGGGCGCCGTGATTTTCTTACAGTTTCTAATACTGTTGACTCTCTACAAGCTCCCTAATAAAAGTCAATAGTATTATCTAATCAATAGTAATATAACTTTTACTTCGGCGCCCCACGTTTTTGCTCGCTTATAGTAGTCAGAGATGTAGCCGCCCGACTAAGTGAAAAGCGGATTTTTTTTTACAAGCGGTTCAGAGGGGGCAGTGATAGCGGCTATTTTCTCAGACACTGTACTTCAAGATTTTTTAAACATTTCAATGACGTTTTACCAAAGTAAAAAAACAAAAACAATTAGATGTAGACCCTGCTAGATTGTGTAACTAAATTATAGCAGGCCTACATATTTTGTTTAATGATATAAAACGATGCAGTTCTAGTTTTTTTTTTCTTGAATCTAGAAGTAGGCCCTTATTAAAAATAACCACGTTAAAATTAAACAGCGCTTGTACTTGTAGAACTGCCTTGACCGAGAGACACGACTCAGACTGTGTTTGCGTGGTCTCGTGACGTAGGTCTTACGGTCAGCGCGACCTTGAAGAAGCGGGTAAGAGGTGGTAAAAAGTGACGGTAAAGTTGAGTGAAAACAGCACAGTTCTATTTCATACATAAAATAGTCTCCAAATAGTTTTTTTCTTTTCTTTTGGTAATACCAAATACACAATTTTTTTTTGTTGATCGGAGCAAAATCTTTCGGTTGTTTTTTTTTTAAAGACGATCGGCGATGCTAGTAATGGTAGGATTTAGTTGTTTTTATTACACAGCCTAGCGGTATCCCATTGATGACATCACGTAAATAATGCGAGTTTAACCCCAACCCATATCGTCATAAATAGCCACACCACGAATGACTTCAAAAAGTTCCTTCTACAGCCTCACCCATCTGATACAGCCGATTAGTAGTTGGTCCTTGGCGCACGCGTGAGATTGTTGCTGACGTCATTTACTATTCATTTTTTTTTTCGGAAAAGGCCATTAGCGGGACTGTTGGCGATAAAAACGATTTTTACAATGCCAAAATTTTCAAGCTTAAAACTATCTAAAAAAAATTTTAAACTGCAAACCCGGAAATTTTCAAACTCAAATCTTGCGAATCCGGAAAGGGAAAAAAATATGATTCTCGAATCCGGAAATCCGGGATATCCCGGAGAAGTGGCACCCCTGGTGACGTCACCGATATTATCAGTTGCTCGTGCTATATCGTAAGCTATGGGCCTACTTCAGATATTTATAAAACCAAGTTGAACTTATCTGAATTTTTTTGTTTTGGTGGGTGTTATTTGGGGTTTTCCATAAATGACGTTACACTCGTAAGGGGGGGGGGGTCTGTAATTTTATGACGATGTGTCATGAGGGGGAGGAGGGGGGGGGGGTTAGATGTGAAGTCACACTATAAAAAAGCAATGTTAGAAAAAGAATTTTAGACGTTCTTTCGCGTTTTAGAAAACTGTTTTAATACATTGTAATAGGAATTGATTAAAATACTCTATTTTGACCGAAATTAGACAAGATTTTGGGAAAATATCGATGTTTTTAAAAAACTCAACTGCTGGTGACAACAATGAGCAAGACATTGCCAAAATTACAGAAATGATAAAAAATACAAATTATAAAAGACGGAAAACAGATGTTGAGCGTGATGATGATGAGAACATGGGTGCCAGTGTTGTTTGTGGGATGAACGAGGAGGTCAACTGTGATGAGAATGTGAAATGTTGTGAATGTGGATTGGAAGAAGTAGCAAAAGAAAAATGTATAAATGGGAGTCTAATGAACTGGGTTGGGTGTACTATGTGTGAAAGATAGTGTCACGAGGTGTGTTTGAGGACTGTTTCGGAAGATTTTGTTTGTAAATTTTGTTTGTAATTAAAATTAGGCCCTACTTAATAAAAAAATAAATTGCACTTTTTAGAATTGTTTATACTTTTACACTTTTTGCAAGTACAAAAATCCATAAATAGATGTTGCAAAATATCTCTCCTGCTGACAAGATATACCAATTCAC